ATTACCTATTGCATGTCATCTATTATTAGTGAAATATGGATTTTAGTTTTAAAAAAATTATTTTCATTTTTAAGATGTAGATCACGTAAGGACTAATTAAAAACTAGATGTAGGACAAAAATATTCATTATATAATGTAATAAATCTCTGTTTATTTAAAAGATAGATTCTTATTAGAACTAATGAAAAGTACTATCCTTTGAACAAGTTTACATTTACAAATGTTTTATTGAGTTTATTTAAATTTTATGAGATATACATATATTGAATGAAGAACAATCGGGTCAGTTGTGAGGTAGTAAATCACTGATGAGAATGGTGGATGTGGATTAGTGGATTAGTTGAAGTTAGACATTAATACCGTTGGATGCCGGCTCAGTGGTCTAGTTGGTTAAGACCCCGGCCCGAGACTGACAGGTCCCTGGTTCGAATCCCGCGGAAGGGGTCGTGGGCGCGCATTGCTGAGGAACGGCCGTCCAGTCCTTCCAGGTTTTCTATGGTGATCTAACTTCAATTGACTCATGATCTCAACTCTTGAAATTTCATAAATATTTACAGTCTAGTTAAATTGTATAATTGATATTTGAATTCTGTATGAAATTAGAATGAATTTAGGTTACTAATGCTTCTGAGCACTTTTTATTGTAAAGTAATTTTGGGTTTCCTGAGGCTTTATGAATATTCATTACTGTGCATCTATTACTACATTCGGGTTCAAATCTAAGTATCTAGATATTCAAGGAGCCTATTATCATCAAATAGTTAAACCGGATTTATTTAAGTTAGTCAATTTTCATTGTACAATGATCTTTATATATTGAAGCAAATGAAACGTTGTTTAGTCTTTTTTTACCAAATCAACACTCCTCAACTTCTCAATAGAATTTCCAGAATTCCATTATGAATTCACTTACTTGTCACTGCATAGTCATCATCTACAATGTAGGTTTCATGGATTTGCTAGACAATTTGAAAGCAGTGATACAGTATAAAAATTAAGATTATGAAAAAGCAAAAGATGCTAATGTACTGAAAGGTTAGTGGAATAAGATAATCATTTTATTAAGAATATGAAATTAAGATAAAAACTCTGTGTCAGTGCTTTCTGATTCATATTGGTCTCTTGATTTATATCAGTTGGTGATATAATCTAATTGATAACTGATGTCAAATGTTCTTTACTCTGAGCACATCTGTAAGTTGAAGGCAATTTCTAATACCCCTAACTACAGTATTTTGCATCATACGTGAATGAAATTCGCGAAATAACCATCAGACAAAAATATGTAAATATGATGCAAGTTGTTCTGATGATGAATTTTCAAAGACACTGAACATAAAACACATGGAACAGGCAGTTTTTATCCGAAAATAGTCAGAAAAACATATCAACAACTTTGAAGATACTAGAATATCCTTAAAAATTGGAACATATATCACTCTGTGCCACAGTCAAGATTGTAACCTCTGAGCTATTCGACTGACCATAAGCTTAATACATAATTGAGATATTTGTAATAACCTATTCAGGTTGAGTCGCTTACACTAAAGTTAAGTTAGTGTCAAAATCTAAACCTCATAATATTGAATAATAACCAATAACGCTTTATTTTCAACAATTGGTTTCCAAATAAAATTCATCAAAGTCTGATTGTTCATTGTATTAACATTGAGAGGCATAAGATTTAATCTATGGAAACTCATTAATTTATTCAAATATCAAAACATCGACCGGTACAAAATACAGGTACATGTTTTTCTTTTAATTTCCCTCAAAAGTCTAACATTAACAGATTTTATTTTGTAAATTCTAGGAATCTCACAATATCGTGATCAGTTAGATAAAAATACAATGGCAAGCAAACATGTCAATTTAGATCATTGTAATACGAAGTTTCCGTTTCGTGCAAGTGTTTTATTCACCCTCATATCAAAAATGTTATAGAATGAGATAACTAATGAATCTTAAATACTTTTGATAAATAAAACAAGAGCCATTAACCTAGTAAACTGAATGTTTGAACTTCCACTAAAATTTGATTAAATGTAGAAGATCATTGTCTGTATACGAAATTGAACAAAACAATTAAAATGTAACACTATACTTAAGAAGGATAAAAGGGTAAAGTGAATAATTCGAAATGACTGACTCATTTCAATATTGGTTCTCGTTTCTTGTAAAAAAAAGTAGCGATAATTGAAAAGCGTTTTATTTGCATAGTTCACATAGAAAAGGGAATATTACAATTCATTAACTAGAATATGTTTTGAGTAATGATGAAGTAAAGATATCATTAACTTAGATATATTGTTTATTTTTATTGAATTCAATGATTGGCGGTTGTTCAAATCATTTTTATTTGGCTTCTGGAATAGTTCGACTTCTGTTAATAACCCTTAACGAATAGCGGTTTTATACATATATCGATAGAGGTTTGTTCTCTGAACTGAATGGTTTAATCATAAAGCCATCACTGTTCTGATGAACAAAGTCATCAGCGTAAACTTCAAGTAGAAATGACGTATTCTGGTTTCTCTATCGATACGACAGGAAGAAAAGTCAGCATTACTTCCATTTTAATTCAATGTACTATTGGTTTTTGTTTCGCCGTATGATATATTCTGTATAATATACAATATTCTTGTATTGAGTTGACATGAACTATGCTTAGCATATGACTTGTTATAACTGTATTTTTCATATATGTGATTTAATCCTAATTATTAATCAAAATGTGTGTACAAATCAATATATAAATGAGTGTATTTTCGACTAGTGTCGTCATCGTCGTCATGTTTCAGATTAATAAATCTTCACTTATACCAGTTTTTTTCGTGTTCTTACTTTCACGTCGTGGGAATTGCAGAGGTCTCTCGTTTCAAGCATAATTGATAAGCGATTTCAATATAACAATCAGCGACGACTAGATATAACAAGTAGTGTTCAATCAACAAAACTTATCATCTATGTATTTATTTTAAAACAAAGTTTCATCCTTCGTTTTCAGCATAGTTTCTATACTGTTATCAATTTTACTATCATAAATAAATGAAGTCATATAATAATCAGTATCAATAGTGACAGAATTCATCCTTTAACTAAACTAAGTAATTTCATGTTTAAATGTGATACTGATTAATCAACATATTACATCTAGTATACCATTTCAAAATGATCATATTGTTTGAGTTGCGAATCCATTTTAAAGTGAATTTTCTCAATATGAGAATAATTTTAAACATTGACAAAAAATTACAAAGAAATTACTTTAAATGACAAAGCATTAGATCATTATTTCATCACCATTTAGGTATCCTAACAGGATATGCAGTTATAACTTTAAATGAGATCAAACCGAAAATTTTAGAGTCTTGTTGAATTTTCGTCATCTTAGAACAATTGCTGATGCATTTCAGTCATCAGTAGTTTCATCAATTTCATTTCCAATATGTGATAATGTACATTTCAGGTGATATTTATAAATATGTATATTTGTAAACCTTATATGAGTGCGGGTAGAATAATGATTACATATAATCGCTAACTGTAAGATGATTTTACTTAAGATATTGGAATATTTGAGAATTGTGGAAAAAATTAGTTAAATGTCTATAAAAGTATTCATTGTGTAATTTATTTCCGTTTAAGTTGATATTTAATAAAACATACAGATGAACAACACACTGTATTATAAATCAAATGTTTGGAAACTATACTTTATAATAAGAGTGGGGGGGTTGTGGAGATTTCAGTAATTTAAGAGTTGAATGCATGAGTCGATTGAATCTAGACCGCCATGGAATACCTAGAAGCACTAGACAGCCGTTTCATCCTAGTATAGGACTCCTCAGCACTGTGTAATGATGATAACTCTTAAAGATGGGTTACAGTACTTGCTTTTTCCTGAAATAAGTAACAAATGACATGGTTACACGTTGAAATGTTTAGAATTGTGAGAGTACTTTTTTAAATATTTAAATGTCATTCTTTATGAATAAATATAAAATGTCTCGTCAAAATAATCTGTGATTTTAATTTCAAAGGAAAAACTTAGATCATTACTATTTAATAATGATATGTTTCTGTTTAGTAGTCAAGTGGAATTTTGTCAAGTTTTTTTTGATATTTTAAAATGACGAGATTGTTTTTCATTGCCATATATATCAGGTTTAAAACTATAGATCAACTGATGTGTTTTTCTAATGTTTACATTTTCCCAAAACTTTAGCATTAATCGGTATGTTTTACATGTAATAAAATTTGTTATTAATCAACTTTATACAGTTTAGTTGGTTCCTTCATTTTAACGTCAATTAGGTCAGACGATGTATTCGACAGACTCAGAACTTAAGTGACCCGAGATCTGACTCAAGATGAATTGAAATATACATTCTGATTATCCTCGTATATAATTATTGACTTAGATCGAGTTATAATGAATAACGGAATTAAATAAGTCAAATATGTGAATGGATGCTTTGAATATGTATATTTTGTACACTCGTTGATCGGAGCAGACAATCAGATAATCGCAGTGAATGAAACGAAGAGGAGAGAGTAAAGCGTAACAAAAGGACGGACAGTGGAGAAAGCATATGAGCCAACTCCATTTAATCAAGCGTTAATCAATATTTATAGTCACACAAAAATATGCCACAAACATGTTCTGAATAGGATAAGATGTACACACATATATGCTCATATAAAAATAGTCAGGGTTGATAAGTGAACAATTAAGAAAGTCAAAATGTAGCTTGAGAAAAGTGGATAAATTGGCCAGTCCAGAAGCTAGAATAAGTTATGTGGGCATAACATAGTAACCGACACAACAACAGGTAAACTTTTCTTTATTCAAAGTATGGTGAAGTTGGTAAGTCATCAAAATCTAAATAAACATTATGTATTAATTATAATTAATATATTTTTAGAAGAAAAATGAACGAAAATGTGTTCACTTATTTTATATATTTATTTTTTGTAATAGAAGAACTCGTGAACAATGCCAGAACAGCCAACAGATTATCGTGTAGCTGTATATGGTTCAGGAGGAGTCGGTAAAACATCACTTGTACTTCGATTTGTACGTGGAACATTCCGTGAGACATATATTCCAACCATAGAAGATACATATAGACAGGTAAACTAACTTAATGTGTTAAACTAACTATTGTATATTTTTGGTTATAACATGAATATCTTATATATCAGCTATTGTCTATTCATCCAAATTCTTTCAGACGAATATTTATGAACTATACGTTTTATAATGTTTTCTAATTAACTCACGTAATGACATTAGAAAATATTCAGTCTACTCAAGAGATCATTGATGAAGTCATCTAATGATTGTTTTGGTTTTGTCAAAGTTCACTTTGATTATTTCTATCTACTATCCATGAGATTAACTTATTATGTATGTGAGTTACTCCTATGTAGTGTAGAATAACTTCAATTTTCAACATAATATATAACAAGTAATACATTTGCTAATATTGAGTCTTTTTGTGTGTACAACTGTAAAACTGTGTAATATCAGTTAACACAACTTAAGATCGCTAATTCATTAACCAATATCGAGAGAACTTTTTATTTATCCACTAGTCAATTTTATATTGTTTAATAGGTTAATCTAAAGATATTAGGTCAGTTCAACCAGATATCTCAGATTAAAAATATTAAAATTTAACTGTCAAGCATTGTAATATAATCATCTTAACAGATTTCGTGTTACCATTCAATGTCTACAGTATTAGTTTCTCTGTAATGTATTATCATGAATTATATATTTAATAGGACATTTATCATGGTTATTACCATCAGGTCATACAAAATATGTTGACCAGTTACATTGAATATGTTGTTATATATAGTATGATAAATAATTAAGCTAAAATTAATAATGCTATTAATAATAATATTGTACTTAAGACATACAATAAAATGTTATACGTAGTTTACATAAACGACCTTCATTGATTCCGGTATCAATTAAATTCAATCAAGAACTACTTCAAAGGTTACATATATAGATATAATGAAATGCTGATTTCTACTTCTCAAATACCAAAAAAAGATTCCAGTTTATAAAAATAAACAGTATAAAGATGACAATGAATTTCTTTTAAATTCTTTCATTCATTTCTTGGATCTCTATTGTAAACTTAAAGATCTAATGGAAACTTATAATGACTGTAGTTTTTTCTTCCATTTTTGAATATAATACTGTATTACAAAGTCAAATGCTGATGTCAAACTTATATTGTACTGAAGGATTAATATGACCTAAATAGATCAATTGATAATAATATGAACTTGAACCAACTGAATATGTAAAAATAAATAGAATTTTTGTGACCTTATATCTGACACTAATTGGATAGTATGAATGATTGTTGTTGAAATATACATTCCAGTTACCCTTGTATATAATTATGAGATCGAATTTCGTTAGTGAACAACGGAATCATATAAGCTAAATACAAGAATGAATTTCGAATACTTATGTTTCATACAGTCGTTGATCTGGACAAACAATCAAGGAAACGAAGAAAAGGGAGCAAATAGAAGAGAGCAAAGCGAAACGAAATGATGCACAGTGGAGATGGTGAGGTTTTGAATACCTATCCATAATATGAAAATTCATAAAGGTGTGTGAATAATCACCATCATTTTAATTGCGCTTTGGCAAAGTCAAATTAAGTGAATGCTATCTAAATTCTTTAGAAAACTGTACGGCCGTATGATTACAAAACTTACGGTAAAATGTGTGGAAGTATTACTTTATAAAACGTTTTACGTTTTAAACAATAATCCATTTAAAATAAAGAGCACTGTAAAATGTTTCCTATAGAAAACATTCATAACCGTATCATTGTGTAGTCACGTTGTTTAAAAACTCATACTATCAAACTTACTGAAATAATATTTTTTGGTTGAAGAAATTTTCACTCGTAGAGAAAACTGTTTTGCTATTTTTGAAATGAGCTAATAAAAAGAATAGACATTAATAAATGTGGATTTCGAAGAATGTAGAGTTTTGTAAATGAAATTACGAACTGATCTTGAACAGTCACTGAACACCAAGGGGAGCTATTTCTAATTAGCGTTTTTTTAGTGAGTTAGTTTTCTATGGGATGGGGTCACTAACGCCATGCACAACCCTCCTCCTTTATCCGGGCTTGGGACATGCAGTAGCCCCCGGAGGGACTCCGGTCGGAGTTAAGAGGAGCTATACAAATATTTTATATTAGTATAGAGATCGTGAGTAAACACAGTTGAGAATCTTAATGGAAGGTCTGAACAACTATTTAGCACTTTCTGGTCTCTAATTGTTATCTATTGAAGATCAAAATTGGAAATTTTTTAGACATTATAGTAAACTGTAGTTTGATTCTACAGATTTTGTTGAATAGTGTACTAACAAGAAAATATGGTATAACAATTCCTTCAAATACTTTCACCCAATTAATTAAATTATTGCATTCCATTTTTTACTCTGTTTGAGACAACTAAATGAAGAAGTTGAATAGGATAATTTGCTTTTGTAAACATAATTACTTTGTTTGTGAAAACTAGAAAAAATAAAGTGATGTACTGATGTAGTTTTGTCCTTGGAGCCGGAGCGAAAATTCCATCAAAACCATCCACCTGAGCTACAAATCTTCTCCACCATCTCAAAGTGATGTACTATTTTGGAAATTTTCAACGTCATTTGATCAACTGATGATCTTATCGAGTTGAATTTTACTAATGAATTACTACAAAAAAAACGGTCAATTAAGGATAATAATAGTCAATAACAGACTTAAATTTTCTATTAATAATTAAAATAGGTTTGTAACAACGATTGCTGTTTGCCCAAATATCACTGAACACTAACAAAGATTAAATGATCGTTTTATTTTGCCTTATAACAGAATTGATAATATAGACCACTGAGTTAATAAGTCAATGTTTATGAAATAATGTACTTACTATGAGATCTAACAGTTGGAAATTTATTCACATTTAGAATGGTGTTTATGTATGGAACAGAACTTTCGGAGTTTTTATTTTACATTGAATAATCTACACGTGTATTTTATTTAACAATTGAATTCATGAGTCAATTGGAGCTAGACCACCATGGAAAACGTCGAAGCACTGGATGGCCGTTTCATCCTAGTATAGGACTCTTCAGTAGTGCGCATCCACGATCCTGCCCACCGCAAAATTCGAACCTAGGACTTTTCACTTTCGCGCATGAACACTGAACCTTTACTTAAATAATGATTAAATTATTTTTTAATACACGAATACATAAACCCATAGCCTTCTATCTAAATTAAGAATAAGTAAACTTATCCATTACTTGAATTAAAACAAACAAATAAAAAATTTATCTATCATTCAGTGAATGCATTAAATAAAATGAAAATGAAAACTGTTTACATAACAAATACATCTTTTTAGTTAAACAAATAGAATTCATAATACATATAATACTTGTAATCAACTGGTAAGTAGTATTTTTGGAAAAAAAACAAAGTAAAACCCTGACTGAAAGTTATATGTCCTTCAAAAAAAGGAAAGAAAAGAAAAGAATATTAACAAAATTTCAGATAACAAAAAAACAACAACAGCAACAACAACTTTCAATTATCATTCAATTAGGATAACAATTTTTTGAAACATTTGCAAAAATTAAAAAAAATAATTAATTAGGTCAGAAACTAATTTTTTTCTTTTTTTTAAGAAAAAAAGAAATAAATTTATGTAATATCCAAGTTCAATTTAAGCTCATAATTTCTTATTTCTTAGGGAAATGAAAAGTCAAAAGTATCTTTTAAAAGTGCATTATTTGATTAAAACAAAATAAAAAATAAAGAGGAAAATTTTTAATCAGAATAAAAATTTTAAAAAAATTAGAAATAATAAAGTGTATCAGGTGAAAACTCTTATCATCTTACTGCTAGGGTTGATGCTGTCACGAGTTCACTTAATCTGTGAACGAGAACAAAGACTCAGTGACGAGAGACCAGTAAGCTAACTAATTGATGCATCCCTGCCCCGCTAACTAGAGGGAGAAGTCCAAGCTCGGAATGGGAAGGTATATTCTGCAAACAGCCAGAGACGAGCGATCACACAGCGATCCACAATCACAATTCAAAAGTATGTATATCAGTTATATGTATATAATCGATATTACCATGGAAGTATTTTTAAACATTTAATCGATGATTTAGTCAATCGACTGCCATAGAAATATTTAACATTTAATCGATAAGAATAGTTTAGTTAATTAACAGTTTCACGGTAAAATATACGTATAGTATTGATCCACAAATGGATCCCAAAAATTACTACTGATTATTCTTATCGGGGCATAACACATCTCCCCTTTTTTGGAGATCCAGGGTTGATATCCGGCTTTTAAGTTTTCCGGGGTCATCCTACCCCATGAAACATTGTTGGATCCTCATATGCCCAAGTTACAATTAGATCCCAAAATTTGCCACTGATTATCCTTATCGGGCATAACACTCAGCACCTCCAAAAAAAGGAAAAAAAATAAAACTATGTTATTTATTTGAATCATAAATAAACAATTGAATAGAAGAATAGATGTGACTATTTGAAATATAAACAACAGACATTACTGAAGGTGTACTTTTACAACTGATTGATCATTGGGTAGTGTTCAGTGTTATATATGTCAGATCTTTCTTAATATAGATCGAATCCTATCGACAAAGTTGCAATATGGTCACTAGTCTAGGTAACTTGACATTACATGTACTATGTTGGAATGAGATGGTGGTTGGTGGTTATCAACAGGAAACCCTGGACCTACGTTTTGTGCTATTTTGACACTCGTCAGAAAGGTAAACCTGCAATCATGAGGGAACTAATGCTCCCTGATGGATTCTATTCCGTGTTACCCAGCTTCACAGTCAGAGACGTTACCACTGAGCTATCCGGGCTATGACTGACCTCTTGTAGGACTGGGTTGTATTTACGATTGATTGATGGAAGGGAAGTGATGCTCCCTCAAAATTGCAGGTACACCTTGCTGACCAGTGCTAAAATAGCCCGAAACTTAGGTCCATGTTCCAACCACCATCTTCAGATGTTCTGTTTTATTTAAATATCCTGCTA